CTAGTGCCCTTTGGATCCGACCTGGTACGAATGCCGAGGTGCCTTGGGACCGAGGTGGTCCTGATGTGATCGTGCACCGAGGTGAACTCGTCCCAAGGTGGACTTGCCCCAAGGTGGTTCGGTTATTCTAGCTCGATCCGTTGCAGACTTGGTGTGTCAAACTGAGTTGTCATCCTGCTAGTTAGGTCGTGTCCATGTGTCCCCTTATTACTAAGTCAGGCCAAATCACCCTACATCAATTCACGTTACCAAAAATTGTTCAAAAAAATTTCAAAATTTGATTAAGTTTATTTTCAATACTTAAATTAATTTCCTAAAAATTAAATATTTATTTAATTATTTTCAAAAGATTGTTTAATTGTGATATTTTATTGCAATACTTAAATTATTATTAAATATTCAGAAAATTAATTTCATGAATATTTAATTAACTCTAATAATTCATTTCCTGAAAAATAAATATTTAATTAATTATTTTCAGAAAATTGTTTAATTTTCATATTTTATTGCAATACTTAATTTTCAGATATTTATTTGATTATTTTCAGAAAAAATGTTTAATGTGATATTTTATTGCATATCTGTTCTCTCTCTCTCTCTCTACATAGAATTTGTCTTCCATGTGATCATAATTGATTTTAATGTACCATATGATATGATTTGCATACGTTGGTATTCATTTTGTTGTGATTTCATACAAAATTTGTGGTCATTATTCACGTTACCAAAAATTGTTCAAAAAAATTTCAAAATTTGATTAAGTTTATTTTCAATAAACTGTCATAAATTGAAATTTACAAAAAATTAGATTACCAATATTTCCAAAAATAATATGATAATTTCTTGAAGTCAATAGAAAAATATAAAAAATTTATCAATATATAGCAATAATTAAGAAATTGTCATAAATTAGTATAAAATAAGATAAATTAACCGATAACATAATAAAATACTTATTAGTATTATTAGAAAATATGATAATTTCCATAAAAATTTACCAATATTTAAGAAAAATGTCATAATTACCAAAAATGAATTAATAACATTTCCAACAAATATTATAAATTACGAAAATCAACAAAAATAATTATCAATAAGTAAATTACCATTATTATCAGAAATTTTGATAAATTATCAAAAGTTATCATAGATTATTATTACCATAAATGAATAATTTATCAAGGATTACCATAAATTGTTATAGATTATTATTAGAGATGAACAAAACTTAACTAAGAAGATAACCAAATATGGGTTACCAATATTTCAAAAAAGAAATTATAATTCCTATGAATTAATATAAACAATAGAAAATTATCAAAGTTAAAAAAAAGTCATATCTAAAGGTTAGCAATATTATTTCCAATAATTATGATAAATTACTATAGATCAACGTAGATAGTTTTTTATAATCTTCAAAAATTATAGTAATTAACAAAAATTACTAAACATAGCAAGAAACTTATAAAAAATTACCATTAATTGTCGTATATTAGTAGTGATGAACAAAAATTAACCAATAAAACAACCAATATTTACAAAAATAATTTGATAAATTTCTATAATTTCTCATGAAACTATAGAATAACTTTAAAATATTTGTTAAAAAGACCAAAGTAATATTTGTATACTCTTATATTTACAAAATTATAGTTAATATTCAGTCAATAAATTTACCATTTTCTATATTTGAAGGGGATGATATTGAAGTCAAAATGTATGGTGCAAAAATTGAATCATTTTGGAATGAATTAAGTGGGGGTATAGTATATTGCATTTCAAGGTTGATGGATGATTGTGTTGATTCCATTTATATTTTAATAGGTACTGATATAAAATTGCAATTCACTAAAATTACAAAAATCATATATCATGTTGACAATTGCATAAAAATTTCACTATACAATAACAATTTTATTACGTTTGATCATATTTCAGAATATGCAAGCAAAAAGGTTTTTATAGGTATATTTCAGTGTATTCTTTTAAATATATTAAAAAATGTCTTTTTTCTAACGTTTGTATCCAATATAGATGTTCTTGGAGTAATCATTTATATGGGTGATACTTCCCTGGTGTATCCAAATTAAAAAAAAAGGGAAATTCTTTTATTAGATCAACAATACGTTTATTTAATATGTATTTGTATAGTGTTTAATATTTATTTATTTAAACATTTTTTATTTGTGATGAAATGTATTGTTGATGGCAAATTGATTCCAATGAGGTTTACTTTATGGGACAAATTTGTAAATGTTGTTCATTTTCATGCTAAAGAAATAAAAGAAGAATTTACAATTGTCACCGGAAATTGTGTAAAAGTAACCCATTATAAAGGTAACATTAATTTTATTTTTCCTGAATAATATAACCTCTCTTCTTACATGTTAAATGTAATAACAAGATACACAATTTCTACTATGAAGAATATAAGTTTGTCTTTCAATTCCTTCACAATAAAGGAGGAATCGCTTCGGTCATGGTATATAATGATTGATAATTACTACTTTAAATAAATTAGCAAATATTTTTTCTCAATGACTAAAAATTAATGTATGTACGATTTTTGCTTCACAGGTTTGATGACAATGAAGAGGCGATTAAGATAATTCAACATTACTATAAAGTATGGAGAATTTAAAGTGCATTTTTTTGTTTATGGACAATGTATTATTAAATCATATTATTTTAGTATAATATTTACATTGCTCTTTTCTTATAGATTATAGATCATATTGTTGTATGTTCCACTGATGTGGGGTTTTGAAAGTTGCACTTATAATTTCTTTGCCACTTGGCCAAGTGGCAAATGAAATAAAAAAGAGTGAAATTGTCAAATAGTAAATAAACCTTTGGATTCACATTTTTAGGATCTTAATCTACACAAATCCAACTATACCAACTTAAGGCTCAAGTTGCACTTCTGGCCATGAATAAACAATATAATCTGAAATATTCTTGGAATTCCTCAATAATAGATCTGTTCATGAAATTAAAGAAAGTATTCTACTTGAGGAGGGGAGGGGCATAGAAGATCAGCAAAGCACAAAGTCCTTAGAAGATTAACCTCACATCTACATCTGTTGTATAATTGATGATTCTTACCTCATGTCTGTTGTATTTCCAACAGACATGAGATAACCTCACATCTACATCTGTTGTATAACCCAACCCAACCCAGTTTTTCCATCTTGAGTTGGATCGGATCATTCTCCAATTTAGGTAGCTAAATCTAAGACCCTAACCCTGTTTTTTCGGGTTGAATTGGGTCAACTTTTTGTCACGTCTAATTTTAACTCATCAATGGGGTTACACAATGGGAATATTCCATCCCCTTCCCTTAACCCCCGAACAGTCGTAGCAACGGAATTCGATCCACGATTCTCTCTACTCCGACGAGTCAGAGATCCTACCAACCGAGCTTGACAAAATATGGGGTGAGACCCAGTTAAATATATTTTACCTTAAATTCAAATAAAAGATCCAACAGAAAGGCTTTCAATGCGTTACATTTGCGTGGGTTCAATGCATTTAGATAAATATAATGGGTAATTTGCGAAAGTCAATAATCTCGTACAACCAGAGTAATCTGATCTATAACTTCAAGGGTCCCGTCTTTAAAAGTGCGACCTCCTTTTGTCTCCTAAGAAGGCTATTACGACACACAGATTTTGGGTTGTTGTATTCTCACCGTGTTGTGTCATTCAATCTCTCAGCTACCTTTCTGTTCTCTCATAGAGAGGTGGGTGGCCTCAACAACATTCACTAACTTTCAGGAGCGAGGTGGAGAGATATTTGATTGAACAATAAAATTGAAATTAGAAAGGGATGATGAATTAGGTGAGGGTCCAGAATAGGTTTTTATTATTTAATATATGACGGGTGTCAATTGGACTGGATTTGGATTTGGTCCAATCCGATCGTCTAATGTAAATCCATTACAAATGAATCAGGTCCAGTCCAATCCAATGAATAATTTGGACCATTTTGAACTGGTCCAATTCAATGGTTGGATCATCCAATCTATTCAAATTCGTTTTAATTTAGATTAGTTTTAACTCAAACCCGATCCATTAACACTTATATTCTTATCTTATATCAATGGACCAGATATTAAATTAATCCAACCCAATCCAATTTAAATTTATTACGAACAGACCATATCCAATCCAATCCAATAAATATTTTAGACTGAATTGGTCCAATCCAATATGTCTTATCGGTCCGTCCAATYCATCCAAATTGATTTTGAACTGGACCCATGGACACCTTTACCCCCTCACAGAAAAATCTACCTGGCTTGAAGCTTAAACAAGCACGAGCCCATTTATACCTTGTGCTGAAATTAATTAATTATTTATAATAAGGCGACAAGAAATTAAACACTAGACCAGTTAATCAAGGTTCTGATACCATCTCCCAGGAGCATTGAAACTTCAGCACCGAAACAGGTGCATTAACCACAAATTAGACCCATGATTAGGTGCCTGTGTAAAGCAAGACTTGCAAAGAGTAAAAGCTCAAATGATTTGAATTTATATTCTGATTTATTTTGGTTCCATCTCTTGCCTTATTTTGTTTATTTACAGAACATAATCATCACCATCCAGGCATTGTTGGCCGACCAAAAATTGCATTTTTACTTATTTAGTTTGCACTTTTATATGCCTATGTACTACTAGTGAAACAAAATGGAACTGCAAACAAACAAAGCCTCAGTTACAGTGATTTCAGGGTGACCAATCAAAGATATTGCATCAGTTCATCAATATTGGTTCCTTTGAAGGACGCAGGAGTCAAAATCATCACGTCATCCATGAGATGGTTCCTTTGAGCTAGGTTACAATTAATATCCAAAACAACTGAAAAGGTAGTAGAGAAGCCAACTATAAGAATCAGTCCCCCATCATGAAGAGGAAACACCAACATGGAATTCTCTCAAAACCTTTCAAGAAGCACATAGACGACGTAAACACCAGAAGAAGGGTTGAGTACCCTAAATGGGTAAAAGACCCAAGGAAGGCCTGAAGACAGGAGCTTGGACTCCTGTAGAAGACTCACTTCTTGCTGATTACATTAAAATCCATGGTGAAGGAAGATGGAATAACATTCCTGAGAAAGCAGGTAAAGTTTAAAAGGTGGTGTACATAGAAAATCACGTCTTGATCAAGTCGGTGTGTGATTTCATTTGGGTTAATCTGTTTGTTATTCCAAAACAAGTCACCTCTTGAATGATTCACAATTTCAGGTCTCAATAGAAGTGGAAAGAGTTGCAGACTTCGCTGGTTGAATTATCTGAGACCAGACATCAAGAGGGGGAACATCACCAATGAAGAAGAAGAACTCATCATCAGGCTCCACAAGCTCTTGGGAAACAGGTATTCCTTCTTGTTCCTCATCTTCCCTTTCTTTTCTTCTTATACATAAATTAAGGTTGTGTTTGGTATCATTGTTGTTTCTACCTACTGCCTTTTGGGTTCATCAATACAAATTATTAAGAGATATGTGTTGTCACATCACATATAAGAGTCATTTCAGATAGAATGATTAGACTTCATCCCTTGGAGCAAGAAACACTAATTTAATGTTTCTAAAAACGCCTTTTGCACATGCATTTTTAAAGTATGCCTGTTTCAACTCAAATAATATTTGTATGCCAATTTGTATTGATCAACAGAAAACGTTTCATGTAGAAACATCAATGGTACCAAAAGTTTTGATATACTTTTTGTGTAGGTAGATGGTCCCTTATTGCAGGGAGGCTTCCGGGGCGAACAGACAATGAGATCAAGAACTATTGGAACACCAAATTAGGAAGGAAGGTGCTAAACCACTCGAATGCAGCTTCAAACCATAAGCAATCTAAAGATAAGAAGAACAAGAAAATGAAAATGAAGAAGAAGATGAAGCATGTTGAGTGCAGCAAGGTTTTCCTTAGTCCAGCACAAAATGAAGCCGAAGCTCTGGTACCAACTGGGGTTGGTGATGACTTTGCAACTCCCTACAGAGCAATTGAATCACAATCCTACGACGAGTTGTCCTTGTTCGTTCCAGAAGAAGATGACTTGATGGGTTTTGTGATCGATCTCAATGATACGGAGCTTTGTGGATCTGATCAGCTTCTCGAGTTCAGAACTCTCCCTGTTCTGTGATTTCGACAATGGAATAGTGGGAGAGGGCACCAAAGACTTGTCTCCATCTTCTGTTCAACCTTTATTCTACCCTCCACCAGCAGAGGAAATGCAAATGCTGAAGGATTAGACTTAAGTTGTTACTATTTCCTGGTGTCTTAATGGAGTTGAGGGTTTTTAAATTTTAATTAATCGTTGGTAGCCAAACTGTGCTCGACTGCTCGTTGCAGGTATTCATGTATGGTGAACATTTTTTAACTATTATTAATATTGTTGTTATGTTTGTGTGTATCCAATCCCTTTTATGTATTCAAATTCCTAATATTTCAGATCATACAGGCAGACCCATTGTTAGTTTGTTTAGGTTAAGAACCTACCTGAGAATGATGATGTCATGCCTTTTTTTGGACACTTTAATAATCCCAGTTTGCCCATGAATTACAATATTAGAGTGTGTCTATTGACCAAAATATCTCTAAAAGTTTCTTTTACATATTTTGGGGATAAACGAGGCATTTTTCATATGTTAAAGAGACCTTTTAGTGGTATTTTGGTGAATAAACACTGATTCAAGGGTATTTTGGGAATTTTAATATTTAAAAGCATGGCATCATCATTCTCTGTTTAGGTTAGTTTTTGATGTCAAATTAACTGAAGGAGTTGTATGGATATGATTTTGCTTGTTTTGGAAGGATGTGGATTATACTGCTATAGAAATTTGTTGGTATAACAAAGCCCACCACTTAGGCTGTATTTGGAAACGATGCAAATATGTAGACTATCAAATGGTCCATATAAATTATAAAATAGGGTTAATTTTACATTGACAAATTTATCTTCTTATCAAAGAGACTTTTAGCTGTAATGGATGCATATGCGAATTCCAATAAAGTATATGTTTTTTTTTATAAAAAATCCACTTTGATGAATCAATTTTTGGTGATGTATCAATTTTTCGTGCTAAGTACCTCGTCATTTGGTTTGTTTTTAAGTGGCCGACGACTCAGAGGCCGAAGTGGAGAACTTTTGATGGATGAGGACCTGGATACCGGGTTGAGTAGGCCGAGCTGGGGGCAGATTAGGTGTTGAGCTGACTGAGCCGATCTGGGCAGGTTAGGTGCCGAACTGACTGGGCCGAGCTGCATATTAGGTGATGAGCTTACCAGAGGGCCGAGCTGACTGGTGGCGAGCTAGATTGATTGTTGAGTTTCGTAGTTCTTTAGAGACCTGCAAGAAATCAATGTCAGAGGACCTGGGGTGGCCAACCTGGCGAGGTCGCTCTGATGATTAAGTCAGTACTCTCATAGTAGACTACGAGCTAAAAATCATAAAGTATGAGAGCTAGAATATGCTTATTTGCCCCCCCTATGCCATTGGGGTTAGTGCCTTTATATAGGCATAGTTTGGCGTGGGCTTCACGCACCGCATTCAAGATTTCCGAGAAGTCGTCTAACTGGTCCGAGATTCCCTGAGGCAACCGCCATGCACGTTGACCACCCTCTGGTTCGTTTGGTACATGGAACAACTTCCAAGGATTGTGGGAGTGTTGGGATATGCATGCCAAATTTGTAGGCAAGCACGTCTCGCAGGTCGCCAAGTCGGCACTTGTGCCAGGTTGCCAGGTCGGCGCCTATGCTAGGCCACCAGTTCGGACACCATCAGCTTGGCTAAGGCAAGTTGTTGCCTAAGTGGTTCCAGGTGTCACCTAGATGTTCCGAGATGCCATGTGTCACAATGTCATTGGAGGGCCAAATCCGCCCTCATCATTTGCCCCCCACTCCCGAGCTGAAAGTAACTCGGTGAAGGGAGTAGATTGCTCCTTTTGGCCTGGAATGACTAATTTGATGAGCTCGTAAGCGTCGACCCAATTTGCTTCTCAGGTCGAAAAAGTCCAAGTGTTTGCAGCCTTGTACAGGACCTCACCATCTTTATTTTCGGGGCACGAAAGCGAATTCGTCTGCTCGAGGAGAGGTGGAGCAGGTACCCCGAGGACATCTACCTTATTAGGGATGTGACCATCGAGAGGTTCTGCGATCCGGCTAAGTACCTCAAGAGTGAAGCTCATCATGCCGTCCTTAAGAGGGGGTTCTATGTGACTGCTTTATCAGGTCGCTCCACCTAGGTAGACTTCGACGCAGCATTCTTCGAGCTGGCCCTAGCTAGTGAGTTTGATGCGGAGCCTATAACTGAGGTGGAGGTCGGCTGTGAAGAAATCAAATTTGCATCCATCATGGTGCTGAGAGCGAACTAGTCTTTCCTTTGTTTTCTCGTGCTGAATACGAACTGCTTTAGCCCTTAGGCTCTGGGAGCGACTCGCAGTCTACTCTCCTTACCCTTGATTTTGCCCATGCCGAAGAGGCGACTGGGTCTTATGTGTGTCGAGGTCTTTTATCAGTTCGGCACTTTAGCCCTTAGGCTCTGGAAGCGACTTGTAGTCCACTCTCCTTGATTTTGCCCATGCCGAAGATCAGCCTCTAGGTGCCAATTGATGAATCAATTTTTTGTGCTAAGTACCTTGTCATTTGGTCTGCTTCCAAGTGGCCGACGACTCAGAGGCCAAAGTAGAGAACTTTTGCTGGATGAGGACCTGGATACCGGGTTGACCAGGCCGAGCTGGGGGTAGATTAGGTGTTGAGCTGACTGAGCCGAGCTGGGCAGGTTAGGTGCCGAACTGACTGGGCCGAGCTAGGCAAGTTAGGTGCCCTAGATCCTCCACGTTGACGGCTCGTCTAACCAACAAGGAAGCGGTGCAGGAATAATTCTGTACAGTCCAAGTGGGGTAAAGCTGGAATACATGCTCTGGTTCGGGTTCACAACATCGAACAATGAAGTAGAGTATGAAGCATTAGTCGTCGGGCTCACTCTAGCAAAAGAAGTGAAGGCTAAACATCTTGTCATATGCAGTGATTCCCAGCTCGTGGTCAACCAAGTCAGCGGTGAATATGAAGCCCATGACCCCACCATGGTAGCTTATTTGGCCAAAATCAGGGAGATACTGCGTGGCTTCATCTCCTACTTCATCAGGCAGATCCCAAGATCCGAGAACACTGAGGCCGACGCCTTGTCCCGATTAGCCAGCACAAGCAGCAACACCATGCAGACCGTGTACATAGAGGACTTACCTCGGCCTAGCATTCTCGGGGGAGCAGGAGAGGTCGCTCCTGTAGCACAAGCAGAGCTGAGCTAGATTGACCCACTCGTGAGTTATCTGCTTCACGGGACCCTCTCTACAGAACGCAATGCGGCCCGAAGGGTAGAGCGCCAGTCGGCTAAGTACATCATTATAGACGGACAACTGTACAGGAGATCTTTCACGCTCCCCTACTTGCACTGCTTGCGACCCTCAGAGGCCGAGCTCGTTCTCTGCGATACCCATGAAGGTTTGTCGATGGACACTTGAGGGGCAGGGCTCTCGCCCAAAAGGCATTACGACAAGGTTATTACTGGCCCACAATGAAGGCAGACGCACTCAAGCTCATCAAGAAGTGCGACAAGTGTCAGAGGCACRCCAACATCCACCACCGACCTGCTGCCGAGCTCAAATACCTCACTAGCCCATGGCCCTTCGCACAGTGGGGAATCGACAGACTTGGCCCATTCCCGCCTACGACAGGACAGAGGAGGTTTCTGGTCGTAGCAGTAGACTATTTTACGAAGTGAGTGGAAGCGGAACCCCTAACAACGATCACAGCCCGCAACATACAAAAGTTCTTTTGGAGGAGCATAGTGTGTCGCTTCGGGCTACCTCGAGTATTCATCTTCGACAATGGAAAGCAATTTGAGGACATCAAGTTTTAGAATTGGTGTGCCGATATGCGAATTCAGCAAAACTTCACCTCGGTAGCACACCCCCAGGCAAACGGGCAAGCGGAAGTCACCAACAGAGCCATACTCCGTGGACTGAAAGCTCACTTACCTCGAGGCAAAGGACTGTGGGTAGACGAACTGCACAGTGTGCTCTAGGCCTACCAAACCACTATCAAGACTGCCACATGTGAGAATCCCTTCAACCTCCCTTACGACAAAGAAGCGGTGATCCCTGAAGAAATCGAGGTGCCTACACTATGCTTGGAGGCCTACGATGAGGAGGCAAATGATGACGAGCTCTGTACCAACCTAGACTTGGTGGAAGAAGTACGGGACCTAGCATATATCCGAACTGTAGCCTACCAACAGAGAGTAGCTCGGTACTATAACGCCTAGGTCAAAAAGCGACACTTCCGTGTCAGTGACCTGGTTCTTCGGAAGGTTATGGTACTTGAGCCCAATGTTGGTAAGCTCGGACCGAACTGAGAAGGCCCGTACCAAGTAAGATGGGTATTCGGGGAAGGTATGTACGAGCTTGAGACCTTGGAAGGGAAGCAAGTACGTCGAGCGTGGAACGTCGACAACCTGAGAAGATACTACTGATCACCGAATTGGAGAGAGGACTGCGAGTCACTCCCAGAAGCCCAAGGGTCATGATGCCAAGCTGACATATGACCTCGACACTGCGAATAAGTCTCAGTCACCTCTTTGACATGGGCGGACAAGTCCTAATCACCTCTTCAGCATGGGCAGACAAGTCCTAGTCGCTTCTTCAGCATAGGCAGACAAGTCCTAGTCGCCCCTTCGGCATAGGCAAATCAGCTCTCATTTCTAAGGCATAGACAATTCGGGTATAAACCCTACAACGTCTAGCCCACCTCGGCATATAAAAACAAGTTGATCCCACTGGTTCTAGGGGACAACCGACACCTAAGTGAGTAGCCCGTGTGCAGACAGGTCAGTTTTATACCCTACAATGTCCGCTCACCTTGGCATACAATATGTGAAGTTACCCCTACTCCTAGTCTAGCTCTTTAGCTCGATAGTTCGGGGTAACCTACACTTAGAAAAAATTTATTTCGATTATCCCTACTTGTAGTCCAGCTCGGTAGCTCGACAATTTGAGGTAACCTATACATTTCTACTCCTACTTGGTTTAGTTTGCCAGTTCGGGAGTTATGTACACTTAGAACATTTTTGCACAAATATAGTCA